TCTCTTTTGGTTCATCTAATTTGCGGGTGTTTGCTTTCTGGACTTGGATGTCTCTCTCCTTCCCCATAGGGAAGTTTTCAGCTATTACTTCTTTTTTTTTTTTTTTTTGCTATTACTTCTTCCAATAAGTTTTCTGTCCTTTTCTCTCTCTTCTCCTTCTGGGACCTCCTATAGTGTGAATATTAGCACACTTGATGTTACCCCAGAGGTCCCTTAAACTTAACCTCACTTTATTCAGTTCTTTTTCTTTTTGCTGTTTGGATTAGGTATTTTCTATTACCCTGTATTTCAGATTATTAATCCATTCTTCTACATCCTGTTATCTGCTGTTGATGCCCTATATTTTTCTTTTTAATTTTTTTTTTTAATTTATGATAGGCACACAGTGAGAGAGAGGCAGAGACACAGGCAGAGGGAGAAGCAGGCTCCATGCACCGGGAGCCCGATGTGGGATTCGATCCCGGGTCTCCAGGATCACGCCCTGGGCCAAAGGCAGGCGCCAAACCGCTGCGCCACCCAGGGATCCCGATGCCCTATATTTTTCATCTCAGTTATTGTGTTCTTTGTTTCTGATTGATTTTAAAAGTATTTTCTGGGATGCCTGGGTGGCTCAGCGGTTTAGTGCCTGCCTTTAGCCTGGGGCATGATCCTGGAGTCCCAGGATCAAGTCCCAAATCGGGCTCCCTGCATGGAGCCTGTTTCTCCCTCTGCCTGTGTGTGTGTGTGTGTCTCTCTCTCTCTGTCTCTCATGAATAAATAAAATCTTCCAAAAAAAGTATTTTCTGTCTCTTTGTTGAAGTTCTTACTGTGTTCATCCATTCTTCTTTTGAGTTCAGTGAGACTCTTTATGACCATTACTTTGAACTCTTTATCTGGTAGATCTTAGTTTCATTTAGTTCTTTTTCTGAGGTTTTGTCTTGTTCTTTCACTTGGAACACATTGTCTCCTCATTTTGCCTCGCAGTGTTTGTTTCTGTGTTTTAGATAGATCAGCTATTGTCCCAGTGTTGGAGGAGTGGCTTTATGCTGCAGGTGTCTGGGGCTCAGTAGTACAAACCTCCCTGGTCTCCCAAGCCAGGTACCCCATGAGTGTCTCCTTTGTAAGCTGTGTGCTCCCTCTTGTTGTGGCTGATCATGGTTGGTGCCAACTCACTGATATGTGGGGCTGTTTCCTGGTGCAGCTGTCTGTTAGGCCTGGCTGTGACTATTATGGGTATGCTGGTGAGTGTGGCAGGCTTCTGGCCCATCTGATTGACAGGCCTGTTTGCAGCTGATGTGGATATTCTGGTATGTGGGGTTGGCCCTTGGTACAGCTGGCTCTAAGGCCTGGTTGCGACAGCTGCATTAGCACTGTTGAGTAGGGCAGGCTTTCAGTGCAGCTCGCTGCAAGGTCCAGCTGCAACTGATGCAGACATTCAAGTGTATAGGACTGGGCCTCCAGGGCAGGGGCACATGGGCAAGGGGTGCTGGTGCTGACTGAGGATGCTGGCTGGGTGGGTAGGGAGCTGCTAGAGAGGAGTGTCAGGCCAGGGTGAGCAGTTCAGGTGAGGGCAGTTTGCTTGGGCTGTGCACATAATGCTAGCACGGTAGATGAGAATGTCAGAAATACTGCCCACCAGTGCTGGACCACCTAGATGTAAGGGAAGTAAAAAAAAAAAATGCCTGCCAATGCTTCTTTCCCTGGAGAATGTTCAGACAGATCTCTGCCCCTCCACACACATCCTTAACTTAGTCTCCTTGGATCTCCTTCATCTCTAACCCAGGTACTTTTCAAACTAATGCCTCTGCATTGGTGTGCCCTTTAGGAGAGAAGTCTTTATTTCCTACTACCCTCTGGCTCTCCCAGACATAAACCCCACTTTTTTTCAATGCCAGACATCATGGGTGCTCATCTTTTTGGTGCATGTCCCTCAGACTGGAAGCTGATGTGGAATGCAGATCTCTTATTTCTCAATGAGGGCCTCCACGGTTATGATATCCCTTCTGCTGTTGGTCTCCATGCCAAGGATGTGGGTCCTGACCAGACTGTCTCTGCCTCTCCTACCCTTCTCAGTGTGGCTTTTTCTTTATATCCTTAGTTACATGTGATCTGTTCTGCTAGTCTTCATTTCATTCTCAGAGATAGTTGTTCTATATGTAGTTGTAGATTATGGTGTGTCCATGGAAGGAAGTGAGCTTAGGATTTTCCTACTCCACCATGTTGATGTCCTCTCCTATACTACATTTTCTTCATCTATTCATCTCTCCATATACACTTGGGTTGTTTCTATGTTTGGCTATCGTAAATCAATAATGTTGCAATGAGCATGGGAGAGCATATATCTTTTAAGTTAGTGTTTTTGTTTTTTGGGGGGATAAATACCCAGAAGTGGAATTGCTGGACCATATGGTAGTTATATTTTTAATTTTTAAGGAACCTCCATACTGTTGTCCATAGTGCCTACACCAATTTACATTCCTACCTACAGTGTGCTAGGGTTCCCTTTCCTCTACATCTTCACCAACACTTGTTATTTCTTCTCTTTTCAAGACTAGCCATTCTAACAGGTGAGGTGATATCTCTTTTTTATTTTGACTTATACAATCAGAGGGTGATTAGTGATGTTGAGCATTTTTTTCATATACCTGTTAGCCATTTATATGTCTTTGGAAAATGTCTATTTAGATCCTCTACTTTTTTTTGAGAGAGAGAGAGAGAGAGAGAGCGAGTCAGAGCATGTTTGTACAGGGGCTGGGGTGAGGAAGGGCAGAGGGAGAGAGAACGTTATTTTTAAGATTTTATTTATTCATGAGAAGCACAGAGAGAGCCAGAGACAGAGGGAGAAGCAGGCTTCTCAAGGGGAGCCCGATGCAAGACTCGATCCCAGGACCCTGAATCATCCTGAGCTGAAGGCAGATGTTCAACCGCTGAGCCACCCAGGCGTCCTGGGAGAGAGAATCTTTTTTTTTTTTTTTCTGGGAGAGAGAATCTTAAGCAGGCTTCATACTCAGCAGGGAGCTCAAAGCAGAGCTCCATCTCACAACTCTGAGATTGTGACCTGAGCTGAAATCAAGAGTCAGACGCTTAACTGACTGAGCCACCCAGGCACCCCTATTACCTTTGTTTTTAGTGGGAACTCTAAAAACCATTGCCACAACTGATGTTAGGGTGCTTGCTCCATCTGTTTTCTTCTAGGTGTTTTTTGTTTTCAGGTCTTTAATTCATTTTGAGTTATTTTGGTGTAAGATAGTGGTTTAGTTCTGTACTTTTGCAGGTGGCTGTCCAGTTTTCCCAGCATCATTTATTAAAGAGGCTGTCCAGGCAGCCTGGGTGGCTCAGCAGTTTAGCACCGCCTTTGGCCCAATGTGTGATCCTGGAGAACTGGGATCGTAGTCCCCATGTCGGGCTCCCTGCATGGAGCCTGCTTTTCCCTCTGCCCATGTCTCTGCCTCTCTCTCTCTCTCTCTCTCTCTCTCTCTCTCTCTCTGTGTGTGTGTGTGTGTCTCATGAATAAATAAATAAAATCTTTAAAAAAAGAGGCTGTCCTTGTTCACTGTATATTCTTTACTCCATTGCCATAGGTTAATTGCCCATGTATGCATAGGTTTATTTTTGGGTTCTCTATCTGTTCCCAAAGGGATTTTTTAAAAATGAATATACCGATACAGTTTTGTTTATTTTCTGGGTTTTTTAAAAGATTTTATTTTTTAATTTATTTTAAAAATATTTATTTATTTGACAGAGAGAGAGGAGTGCACAAGTAGGCAGAGTGGCAGAGAGAGGTACAAGCAGGCTCCCTGTTGAGCAGAGAGCCCAATGCGGGGCTTGATCCCAGGACCCTAGGATCATGACCTGAGCTGAAGTCAGACGCTTAACCGACTGAGCCACTCTGGTGCCCCAAGATTTTATTAAGTACTCTTTATACCTAGCATGGGTCTCAGACTTAAAACCCCAAGATCAAGAGTCTCATGCTCCACCATCTGAGCCAGCCAGATGCCCCTAGTTAGTTTTCTTGTATTAAATAGTATCTGAAGGCCTAATTCTTTTTTTTTTTACTTTGGTGCTATTCATAAGGTTCTTCTTCCCTCTCCTCTATTGCTAAGTCTTCTTTGAGTTGAAACAATGTGCTTGACAGGTATACTTGGGATTTGTTATAGTGATAGCATTATTATTTGAAACTTGTTCCTATAGGTACCTTCAAATATGATCAAAGAATCTGAACTGAAAAAATGAGTTGGGAGGAATCTTACAAATAATTTTCTAGGCAATACCTAAATTATTCCAAATGTAATTTTCAGATTAAAAGATTATATGATATGAAAATTCCTCTTCTAAGCTATTTTTTGTAAAGATGTATTTATTTTAAGAGAAAAAACAAGTGAGGGGAAGGGGCAGAGGGAGAGGGAGCAGGCTCCCTGCTGAGCATGGAGCTGGATGTGGGGCTTGATCCCAGGACCCTGAGATCATGACCTGAGCCAAAACCAAGAGTCAGCTGCTCAACTGACTGAGCCACCCAGGGACCCCATCCTTTTTGAAACTATTATAGAATTTTAATAGTACTTCTTTTCAGAATTGTCTACAATAGAATGAAATCTTTTTATATTGTAGTGTGTTAGGTTCTTCTTGCTTTGGGGAGAAAGAATGGTTGCTGCTCTACCATATGTCCTTTATACACATAGAATAAAATAATGAAATCTTCCCTCAGTCTTCCTATCTCTAGTTTTTTCCATCTTTCCTTATGGTTCCATACATTTGCCCTGTGGTTTCTTCTGAAAATACGAATCTTACATGTTGCTTTTAGTTTGAGTAGTGTTTTGTACAAATGTAAGTGATTATTATGTTATTTTGAAAGTGGTATACCCTCAAATTATATACCCTTACAAAGTTATTCCATTGTTTGCTTTTAATGGTTCTTGGACAATCGGTTTCATTGCTGAAATTTTTTGATTCCATATTTTTACACTCCACGGTTCATACTTTATCACTTTTCTGATTCTTACAACCATCTTATTTAAATTCAGCTCTGATGAACACACACCAGTAGAGGATGATGAGCCAAAGAAAAGCAGTACTTCAGCTTCTACTTCAGAAGGTATTTTTTAAAATACTACAGAGCTTCTTTATTGAGAAGTTAAAAAAAATGTTTATAAATAGTTGAACAATAGACTCATGCTTTTACTCAAGTTGCCTGTCATCTTGTTCTTTTTCAGTATTTCAAATACAATAAAACTGATCATTGTAATACTTGCTTAGAAGTTAATTTTATATTTGTACTTTATGTAGAAGAAAAGAAGAAGAAGAAGAAGTCTGGTCATTCGAAAGAAAGGTCCAAGAAAAGGAGAAAGAAAAAATCCTCTAAAAGAAAACACAAGAAGTATTCTGATGACAGTGACAGTGACTCTGACTCTGACACAGACTCCAGTGGTAAGAATTCCAGCATCACTTTGCAAGCCTGGCTTCCAAATTCATTTTACTTGGTAAAACTTATTTCAGAGGAAGGTTAAACACAAAAACAGTAGCCAAGAATTGTTGAGCACTCACTGACTTTATGCCTGGCACCCTGCTCAGTGCTTGGTGTCCATTAGTGCTGTTTATTCCACATAGTAACTGCAGAACACATCTCAGAGTTGGGGAAACGGGGCACAGAGCAGATTGCAAGTACCGCACTCAAGCTCACACAGCTGAGATTCACCCCTAAGCAATGTGACTCCACATGGGTTGTGTCTGGCTGTGCAAGGCATGTGGCAGCGAACCAAGGCAGAGTTGGGCTGTGAGACTATGCGACAGCAAAGCAAGCCATACAGGGCTCCATCAGCCCATGGAGCAGCTCTCTTTTGTCATTCTCACACTCATTGGGCACCTCTGGGCCATTTTCAAAAAAGCACACCATAAAGGACCCCCTTCAGGCTGGCAGGTGATTTATGGAAGACACTCCCTGTGGAGTGGTGCCTCATAGAAAGCCACCTTTTTGTGCCTTCTGGCTGGTGATTGATAGAGGGTGCCGCCTCTGGGGACACATTACATAAAGGTGTCTTTTCCTCTGATGTCACCTGGGTTTCCTGGCTCCTGTTGCTACTTTTCTTTCCCACTGTTGGAAGAATGAACTTTCTTAAAGCACAAATGTGAGTATGTCTGTCTCCTACTTAAAATCCTTAAAAAAAAAAAATCCTTCAGTACTCTGTAGCTTCCAGGGTAAAGTCCAGACCCTGATTGATCCTTCTCTAATCACACATATCCTGTCACTCTTGCAGCATCCTCTGTAACCTGAGAACTACCTTCTATCTCCTCAGTATTTTGCGTTCTTTCTCTTGCTTCTGTCACTTGATACAGAGTCCATCTGTGTACAGTGCCAGTCTCTCCCTGCATGTGGCTTAGCTTACTCACTTCAATAATGGTCATGTAGTACTTTTGTAATAAAACTTATTTTAAAAAGAACTAGCTTAAGGGTAGTTCTCCCTAGGCCAGCCTGATAATGAGATTTTTCTGTACACTCAGAGCACCCCATGCTTCCCTGTATCACTCTGGATTCTGTTTATCTCTTTATGTCTGCCTCCTCCATTAGACTGAGCCCCTAGAAAGCATGTCCCTGGGCCCAAACACATAGGATTTTTGCTTTCTTCATTATGAAAATACTCAAACATTAGAAAGTAAGGAAAATAATATAATACAATGTACACATATCACTTAGATTTTAAGTTTTTAGTATTTTGACATTTGCTTTAAATAGCTTTTTTTGCTGAGATATTCAAAGTAAATTAGAAATATCACACTACTACCCTAAAGATTACTGTATACACCTCTAAAAAACAATGACATTTTCCTACTTACCCCATGCCGTTATCTCACCCAATAAAATTAATAATACTCTGTATCACTGAAGACTTAGTGTGACTTTAATTTCTGTGTCCCTGGTACTGAGCACATATCCTGATGAGTAGCAATAAATGTTTCAATTAATAGCTTTCTCAGGGATCCCTGGGTGGCTCAGCAGTTTAGCGCCTGCCTTCGGCCCAGGGTGTGATCCTGGAGTCCCGGGATTGAGTCACCCATGTAGGGCTTCCTGCATGGAGCCTGGTTCTCCCTCTGCCTGTGTCTCTGCCTCTCTCTCTGTATCTCTCATGAATAAATAAATATAATCTGGGATCCCTGGGTGGCGCAGCGGTTTAGCGCCTGCCTTTGGCCCAGGGCGTGATCCTGGAGACCCGGGATCGAATCCCACGTCAGGCTCCCGGTGCATGGAGCCTGCTTTTCCCTCTGCCTATGTCTCTGCCCCTCTCTCTCTCTCTCTCTCTGTGTGTGTGTGTGTGTGACTATCATAAATAATAAATAAAAATTTAAAAAATAAATAAATATAATCTTAAAAAAATAAATTTCTCTGTAACAACTAATAGGGCAGCAATAGGATATTTATCTACTCAAAATTCTGGGGTTTTAGACTTAAATTTTTTTTTTTTGTTGTTTTTTTTTTTTTTTTTTTTTTTTTTTTTTTTTCTTTTTTTTTTTTTTTTTTTTATTTTTTTGTGTGTGTGTTTTTTTTTTTTTTTTTTTGTTTGTTTTGTTTGTTTTTTTTTTTTTTTTTTTTTTTTTTTTTTTTTTTTTTATTTATTTTTTGGGGGCTTTTTTTTTTCTTGGGGTGGGTTGGGGGGGGTGGGGTGTTTATTTTTTAATTTTATTTTTTTTTTTTAATATGAATTTTATAATTAATGTTATAATTATTTATTTTAAATATATTGTAATTTATGGTTTTATTTATTTTTATGTGGTAAAAAATAATAATTATTGATAAATAATTTTATATTAATAAAAATAATTTTTGAAAAACAGAAAAAAAATCTGATATAATTAAAAAATATATATTATATATTTATCTGCCATATATAAATATATATCTAACTATATCATAATAAATAATAATATTATTTTATTAATTTGTATTTAAATAAAACAACAGGTATCATTTTGTCCATAAACCAGCATGTTTCTCTAAGTTAGCCATTCTTTTTTAAAAAATCATAATTGTTATTGTGATCAAAAATCACAATATTGTTACTGTGCCTAAGATATTCAGGAATAATTCCTCAATTCTCAGCAGGTTTTTATATAGTTTATTTAAATCTGGATTCAAATAATGCCCATAAATTGTGATTGGTTGATACATTTTTTACATGTCTTTAAATCAGTTGGTTCCCCTTCCCTTTTTTTTCTTGCAATTTATTTGTTAAAGAAACCAAATCATTTACCTATCGAGTTGCTGATTGTATTTAATTTTTTTCTTTATTTTTAAAGGTTTTTTATTTTTTATTTTTTTAAAAGATTTATTTTTAAGTAATCTCTGCCTACTGGGATCAAACTCATGACCCCAAGATCAAGAGTTGCATGCTCCACTGTCTGAGCCAACCAGACACACCTGACTGTGTTTTTATGGTGTGCTTTTAACATATTCTCTGTCTTCTCTATTTCCTATATATTGACAGTAAGGTCTAGAGAATTGATGTTCAGATTTGAGTCTTTGGTGCACATACTTCATAGGTTCTGCTGTGTACTTCATCAGGAGGCAGATAATGTCTGGTTGTTTCTTTTTGTCATATTAATAGCCATGGATTGTCATTACCTAGATTCCTTATTTCATTAGGGATTACAAAATGGTGATAGTCTAATTCTGGCTTTCTTGCTTTCTTTTTTCTGTCTTTCTGCATTTATTAGGTAAAATAATTCTATAAGAGAAACCTACCCTCATCAACTATTTGGTTACTCTGAAGTGCAGTTTATATAGGAAAGGCAGGTTAATGACTTTTTCTAAAACTTTTTTGGTTTTATGAGTTTTCAAAATAATGAGTTGGACTTTTTAAATATCATTATGAACCCAAGGATTCAAACATAGTTGATATATTTTAATCATTACACTTCAAATTATTGATGCTCGAATTGTTTTTTAAATTGATTTGTTATCTTTTTGTAATGTGAGAACCATATTTCATTGTCCCCTGAGAAATCTTTTTTATAGTGAAACATGATTTGGTTAAATAAGTTAAAAGATCTTTTAATTAGGGGTGCTTGGATGGCTCCGTCAGTTGGGTATCTGCCTTCAGCTCAGGTCATGATCCCAGGGTCCTGGAATCAAGCCCCGCATTGCTCTCCCTGCTCAATGGGGAGCCTGCTTCTGCCTCTCCCTCTGCTTTTTGTTTCCCCCTGCTTGTGCTCTCTGTCAAATAAATAAAATCTTTTTTAAAAGTTTTAAGATTTTATTCATGAGAGACAGACACAGGCAGAGGGAGAAGCAGGCTCCATGCAGGGAGCCCAATGTGGCACTCCATCCCGGATCCCAGGATCATGCCCTGAGCCAAAGGCAGACACCCAACCGCTGAGCCACTCAGGCGTCCTTAAAAATTTTTTTTAATTAAAAATCTGCTCTAAAAATTTTAATCAGCTGAGAACTTAAATCATTTTCATCAGCCTTTCATTGCCTAAAAAATGTGAGATTCCCTTTAATGTGGGACTATTAAGTGTATTTGTATCAAATTATAATTACAGGAAGAAATACAAGAAAAAGAAATCTAAGAAGAGTAGAAAAGATTCCAGTGATTCAAGCTCTAAAGATTCCCAGGAAGAGTTTCTGGAGAATCCCTGGAAGGATCGATCAAGTAAGTTCTTCTGGTAGACTTTGACTCAGAACAGATAAAACATTAAATTAACTAGTCAAAATATGAATCTGTTTCTGAACATCTTTCCTGTAGAGCCTGAAGAACCCTCAGATTTAATTGGCCCAGAGGCTCCAAAAACACTTGCCTCTCAGGATGATAAACCTTTGAAGTAAGTTAACAGTGTATTTAAAATATCTAAAGTAGGGGCACCTGGGTGGCCCAGTTAAGCATCTGCCTTCAGTTTGGGTCATGATCCTGGGGTCCTGGAATGGAGCCCCACATCGGGTTCCTTGCTCAGCAGGGAGTCTGTTTCTCCCTCCCCCTGCTCTCTCTCACGCTCTCTCTCTCTTAAATAAATAAAATCTTTTTAAAAATAAATATAAATAAAATATCTTGAAGTACATTCCTGAAAGTACGGCCCTAACTTACCTTTCCAACTTCCAGCTGTATCCCTCTATGCCCTTATTTACATGCCAAGTTCCAAATGAGCTGAACTAAAATGTCCCTATATTTACTGTGCACTTTCCCACACCATGCTTTGTTCAGCTTATGTCTTCCCCCAACATGCCTTCACTTCTTTTCCCTGCCCTTGTTTCTTCACTACTCCCAATTTCATCCTGTTAAAATCCTTACCATCTTTCAAAGCTCTTTTCAAAAGGAGGGGTCATGTGCTGATTCCCAGGACCCTTCTCTCTACAAGTAGATGGGATTCCTACCCCTCTTTAATCCTCTAGTCCTCATGGTATTTTCTCTTTCTTCTGTGCAGTGTTTTTTATATGTTCTGCATTGTATTGCAGTTATGTCCCTATCAGTATATAAATTCTATAAGAAGAGAGATTATTTTTGTCTTATAAGCTCTGAGTTTAATAGGTATTCAAGATGTAGTCAATGAATTGAATGAAGGGATGATAGTTTTTAAAGTCCCCTCAAATGAAAGTTAATAGATAATTGTTACTGTATAGCATTGTTACTGGTTCTGAGTCTAAAAAGTATGTTAATTTGAAATATGTTAGTTCTTTTTTTTTTTTCTTTAAGGGGATAAACAGGAAAGGAATTCACTGGAGGCAGAAGCCATAAAGGCAATGCCTGTAGGGATAAATTGATCCGTAATTGTAAACCATGAATCTAGGCTCACTAACATCAGTTCTTCTGTTATTCCAAAGCATGTCTGTATTTCTGGGTTAGTTATGTAGGTCAGAGTGCAGTGTTCACTAATTAAAGTAATTCATGTTGGGCTTCCCAGCATGCTGCCACTCAGCAACTGTTATTTGTGCTGTTTTCTGAGAGAAAATCTTTTTGAGCTCTCTTTAGATGATATGCTTTTTATAATGAACCTTTTCTGAATTCTGAATTACTTTGTAGCTATGGCCATGCTCTGTTACCTGGTGAGGGTGCAGCTATGGCTGAATATGTAAAAGCTGGGAAACGTATCCCAAGAAGAGGTGAAATTGGCTTGACAAGTGAAGAAATTGCATCATTTGAATGCTCGGGTTATGTAATGAGTGGTAGCAGGTAAGTTACTGGCATCAAGATCAGTTTCCATGATTAGATCTTTTCCTTTCTCACTACCAGAATTATTTTTTGGTAATTGATTTTCATTAAGTGATCATTCCTAATGAAAAGTAGAGTATAAATTTTGGTTTAATATTGGTTTTATTGGTATAAACATAGTTGTCTAAAATTCCAGGTAAGTGTGCAACTCATCCTCAAAATCAGCTATCTCTCCAACTTCAAAGATCAATCTTTCCAGTGTCCTTTCCTAGTTTGTATTTTGGTACAGGTAGTTTGTCTTCTGGAGGATATAGTTAATTCAGTTATTTATCACTGCCCCATGAGGAATATGGCATTCTGGTAGTAGGAAATCATTTTCATGAGACAGTGTATCCTGTTTTCTGAATTTGCCTCTAGTTTTCTGTAGAGTCAGAGAATGTAGGTTCTAATTATCTGTGGACTCTGAGAATGAAGAGCAGGAAAGGATTATAACAACATGGGAAAGTAAATATATATATATATATATATATATATTTTTTTTTATTTATGATAGTCACACAGAGAGAGAGAGAGAGGCAGAGACATAGGCAGAGTGAGAAGCAGGCTCCATGCACCAGGAGCCCGATGTGGGATTCGATCCTGGGTCTCCAGGATCGCGCCCTGGGCCAAAGGCAGGCGCCAAACCGCTGCGCCACCCAGGGACCCCGGGAAAGTAAATATAAAATTGTGGAAGAAAAAGCAAAGTACCAGGAAGAATGAGGAGAGTGAATTAATAGGGCATCAGTACCAAGATCAGACTGAGTTTTAGATTTTTTTAAATGTTATAAACTTTTAAAAGCAGGTAAATACTAAAATAAAGTTGGAGGCAGATATTTGGAGAACCCCTGAAGCACCTCCAGAATCTTGGAATTCTGAGGACCAGCTACAGTAAGACAAAAGAAATGAGAGTCACAAGCATTGAAAGGGAGGATATAAATCATTTTTTGTGGATGATGTGATTTTTTTTCCTTAGAAAATCCTAAAGACTCTTCAGATGATTCTGAATAATAGAAGGGTTTAATAAATGGTTGAGTATAAGGTTAATACATAAAAATCCATTGCATTTCTATGCACCAGGAAACAATTATAAAATATAATTAAATAAAAAGAAAACATTTATGATAGTATCAGAGAATGTGGAGGACTTAGGAATAAATCTTAATAAGAAATGTCCAAGACCTCTGTAGGAAAAACTGTAAAACATTATTAAGAGATATTAAAGGGGTGCCTGGAGGGATGCCTGGGTGGCTCAGCGGTTGAGCGTCTGCCTTTGGCTCAGGTCCCGGGATCGAGTCCCACATCAGGCTCCTTGCATGGAGCCTGCTTCTCCCTCTGACTGTGTCTCTGCCTCTCTCTCTGTGTCTCCCATGAATGAATAAACAAAATATTTTTAAAAATAAATAAATAAAGGAGTGCCTGAGTGCCTCAGTCGGTTAAGTGTCTGACTCTTGGTTTCAACTCAGGTCATGATCTCAATTCATGAGATTGAGTCACATTGGGCTCTGCACTCAGCGGGGAATCTGCTTGAGTTTCTTTTCCTCTCCCTCTGCCCCCCCCCCAATAAATAAATAAATCCTTAAAAAGAGACATTAAAGAAGACTTAAATGGAGAGATACCACGTTCATAGATAGGAAGCCAGTATATAAAGTTATCACTTCTCCCCAGATTGATCTGCATATTCAGTGTAGTTCCAGTCAAAATCACAGCAGAGTTTTATGTGAGATTTAATAAGTTGGTTCTAAAATTTATGTTAGACTAGAGGGCCAAGAATGGCCCAGTCACTTTTGAAGAACAGGAAGATGAGATTTGCCCTACCAGATACGAGGACTTATTATGAAGCTTACAGAACTTTATAAAGTATGGGAGAACAAATGAATTGTTCAGCGGGATAAAATATGGAGCCATGGGGCAGAGCCATCCATATGTGAACTTAGGTCTATGAAAGAGATTGCATGTCAGATCACTGGGGAAAGAAGGAACTATTCAGTAAATGGAGCAGGAGTAAAATGGTTATCCATATGGAAAAAGAGGAATAGAATCCTGCATCACCATATTTAAAAATCAGTGCAAGTAGGGGTGCCTGGCTTAGTCAGTAGAGCATGATCTAGATCTCAGGGTTGTGAGTTCAAGCCCCACATTGAGTGTGGAGCCTACTTAAAAAAATTTTTTTTAATTAAGAAAAAAAAAAAAAAAACAGGGCAGCCCAGGTGGCTCAGTGGTTTAGCACTGCCTTCAGCCCAGGGCCTGATCCTGGAGACCCAGGATGGAGTCCCATGTCGGGCTCCCTGTATGGAGCCTGCTTCCCCTTCTGCCTGTGTCTCTGCCTCTCTCTCTGTGTGTGTCTCTCATGAATAAATAAATAAAATCTTTAAAAAAAAAAACAGTGCAGCTAGAATAAGGGCTTAAATGTCAAAAACAACTTGAACACTCTTAGTATAAAATAAAAGTAGATCTCTAATAGATCCTGGGGTAGCAAAGTGTTTCTTAAGGGAGATTCAAAAAAATCATAAAATAGTGATACGTTTGCCTAAGTTAAAAGAAACAACTTTTGTTCATCAAAAGACATCTTAAAATAGGTAAAAAGGCAAGTTTTAAGCTGAGATAAGACCTTAAAACTGATAGTATTAAGAATATTTAAAGAATATGTACAAATAACCCAAACTAATAATGGGAAAATGACATAATCATTTGTTAGGAGAAGAAAAATATATGGCCTATACATACATAAAAAAGATGTTCATTATCATTGGAAATGAAAATCAAGAACATGCCGAAATACCATTTGATATCTATTTGATAGACAAAAGTTCAAAGTTCACCCAGGGGCACCTGGGTGACTCTGTTGAGCATCTGCCTTCGGCTCAGGTCATGATCCCAGGGTCCTGGGATCGAGCCCTGCATCAGGCTTCCTGCTCAGTGGGGAGCCTGCTTCTCCCTCTCCTTCTGCCTCTCCCCCTGCTTATGCTCACTCGCTCTCTCTCTGTCAAATAAATAAAATATTTAAAATAATAATAAAAAGTTCTAAGCTCTAACAATACCAAGCATTGGAGAAGATGTAGATCTATAGGATCTCTTAAATATTGCTAGTGGTGATATAAACTGGTACAACCACTTTGGAAAATAATCTGACATCATCTTGGAAGGTTGAGCATTTGTATACTTTATGAAGCAGCAGCTCCATTTCTAGATACTCAAGAAAAAAATCTTTCCCATGTATTAGGAGACAGGTACATAGATGTTTTACAACATTGTTCACATAGCACTTTGGGTTCCAAATAAAACTATTCACTGTACCCTGAGCAACTTTACATTGTCATCTCCTTGTCTTTGCATCCTGCTGCTACTCCACCTTCACACTAATCTTAAATGATTCTCCCCTCTTTTCCTTGCTCAGTTTTCTCTATTTTTTCTAGATATAGGTCAAGCCTTATCTCAAACTGATTGTGTAGGATTGGATTACATATACATGAGCTGCATAAAGTTTTCCCTCTAAGTTAACAGACCTTTTGAAGATGATGTAATAATTTCCCTCTGCCCCTGATTTGTTTGCCCTTATGATAAATCTCTTTGAGCTGCTATTGGAAAGTTAAATCCACTCACAAAACTCATCAAAAAATTCTATTGTAGTATTAGACCTGGTCCTTTTGGTTGTATGATAAATTAGAACCATGAGGAAGTTTTACCCAATTGATGACAACTTAACCTTTCTTCTGTCCTACTGTCACTTCTCTGAAGGCACATTCTGCATATCACATAGAAAGTTTAATAATTTGCTAGTTTCTGGTTGTTTTAGTAGAAACAACAGAACTAGACTTATGCCCTTAGTATCTGAAATTAATAACACTCATGATGTTGATAGAACATCGGATCATTATTTGAATACCAGAAATGAATCAAAGGACACATTGACAGATGAAATGAATGATCTTTTGAAAATCTAACCCATTACCAAAACAATTTTTATTTGTCAGTTTTTTAAATAGACCATTCTGTATTAAGGATTAGTGAGGAAGTACTATAAGAATAATTACTGAGAAATTAAGCCAAAAATAAAATTATCTCCAGGCATCGCCGAATGGAGGCCGTGCGACTGCGGAAAGAGAACCAGATCTATAGTGCTGATGAGAAGAGAGCCCTGGCGTCCTTTAACCAAGAAGAGAGGCGAAAGAGAGAAAACAAGATTCTGGCCAGTTTTCGAGAGATGGTATACAGAAAAACTAAAGGGAAAGATGACAAATAAGGATTTTCTGATTGTTAAGCAGACATTTTTAACAACAAAAAAAGAAAGTCTGGGTTCTATATATACATACAAAAAGATTATGACCTGAAAAAGCTTTACAGTGCTACTGTGCCTTCTATTTAATTCTTTCAGTCCTTCAATAAAAAGCTGCTTATTGATATAATTTTAGCAAGTTCTTTGGGTTATTTTTGGATTGATCATAATAACTTTCTGGTTTAAAAATCCAAATTACGAATGAAATCTTATTGTACTTGGGGAGGTGGCATTGAGAGAGTGTCAGTAAGATAAGAAACTTAACTCTCATACCATGGGACAGTGCTACTATTAGCTCTACATGATGCCCGTCCCCCACCCCCACCCCAACTGAACTTGTGGGAAATTATCATTCCTCTGTGTTGAATGTGTTATAAATGGACTTGATAGAAACATACAGGAGGCCAATTTTGTTAACAAGATGGAGGCATTGCTGAAAAAGCAAATCTGGAATTTGATATTAACTTGTGTAACATATAGTCTGCCCTGGAAGTATTTTGGTTTTTGTCCCTACCTCTACCCCAAATCCAACAAAGAAGCCAAAAAACAAACTAACCCACGGACTTACTGAGTTGAAAATGTGAACGTTAGTGTTTTAAATTCTTAAAAGGTTACTTAGAAATGGTTCTTCAAATATAAAATATTTGGAAGTGCATTGTTGTGCCAATGTAAGTACATTATTTCCATCTAAGCTATGCTTAGATGATTATTTGAATACTGGAAATGAGTGGGAGTCAACTATGGTTAGGAGTTTAATAGGGAAAAATATATTGAAGCATTGGTTTTAATTTAGTCATTTTATAAAGGATGAAACTAAAATGATATTAAACATATTTTAAGTCTGTCCTTTATGTAATAAGCATATTTCATTTTAAACATTGTTAAACGTTTCAGTTTATTTTTTTACATCTGTCATTCAGTTCAACTTTGTATAGAACCCCTCACTTTATCACTTTATCACTTTTTTATGGCTACTATTGACTTTTAATTTTGTGAGAAATGGAAAATTCTGGGACTAGCAGTTCTCATGATCCTTTTTCTTCCATTATTTTGTTCAGTTTGAGTTGTTAGGTCACAAGAGGGAAGGGAAAGGGGACAGTGGAAGTTTTGGCTGTTTTTGTTAAAAGTTATTTTGAGCTGTGTATTATGTGTCTAGAATAAATCTAAGTGACCTGGGGGATGGGGAAGTTCTAACTCTGTGGTTATAAAATGCCCTCTTTCCTTGTAATAGTTTAAAGTGGTTTTTTCCCCAACATTTTAAAATAAAGCAATCATATTTCAAAGTATAGATAAAAAGTTTTACTATTTAACGTATGTTCTAGGAAAGTGTCTACCTTTAACCCACAGCTAAGGTACTAAATCATTTGGCACGTAGCAACATTTATGACCCCTGAATCTGAAGTGATTCCTGTTTATCATTGTTGCTGCCTAACCTGATAAATCTCGTTTCCAAAAGGTAAAGGGAAGCCAGGTTCCAAATTTATGAGTTGTAATCCGTCTACTTCCTTGTGTGATAAAACCTAAATTTACAATCCCTATTTAAGAATTTTGTTCTCTAAGAACACTATTTTTTGTACTGGTTCCTGGAAACTGAATGAGTTTGCACTCTTATTTTCAGTAGGCAAAGCAGTTTAAACTCTGTGATAAAGGATTCTTGTGGGTTTTTATTGGATTCTCCTGTCTCCTCCACAGAGTGGATTCTCAACAAATGCTTGTCGAGTAAATGAAAGGAAACATTAACGTATTTCAGAACTTTGTCATTTCTTTCATCAAGGTTTGTTCAGGAAAGATTGGCCAAAGAGCAGCTTCAGTAGCATGTTCTTTGGAAAAGAGGAGGGAAGAATAAAAGGGCTAAAAGTTTTTTATTTTGAGCTCATGAGAGGTACTGCTGCAAATTGTGTTTAATCATCTGAGCCATAAGTCCAATAGGAGGACTATTATATTTGAAATGTATTTTTTTTCCTTCAGGAAGACTTATCTAGTTTCCCACCTCCTTGCCTGTTGTTCTGATAAGATTGCCCCTCCTTTTATGTTTATTGCACAAATGTAACAGAAGAAAGAAAAATTACCCACAGTCTTCCCACATCAATTGTCTTTAGTATTCTGTGTTCCCTTCCAGTGCTTGTCTGCATAAATATGTATTCTGACATACATGTAAGTAATCACTCCTAATGTAATCCTGTCTTTGGTGTTTCAAACCTTTGCAGTCAGGTAAGACAGCCTCACAGGGATGATAGGAACAAGCGATGATCTGGTGTGAGGATGGGAGGAAGACCAGAAAGAAGTAAGGGTGGCAACCAGACCTTCCCTGTGTTATTGCCTCCTGTCTTCAAGCCAGCCTGCTGCCGTCAGGTTATGATGCTGTGTTGTGGTAGGCAGCACGCCCAGTTTCAGAGTATCAGCATATATTATTTAACAGTGAAGCTTAACTCACAGTAAGTGAAAGGGTCTCTGAGCAGGGAAATCCTTAGACTGGTTATATTATGAGCTGTAGAACTGTTGCCAGTTTTCTTTTCCTCAGTTATGCCCGAAAGAGGTGTGTCTGGACTAGAAAATTAGGCTCAAGGGGGAACAGGCAGCCAAGTATCACTCTCAGTTTGGTCTGATGGATGAATTTTAGCAAATCTCTAAACTTGGCTTCTGTACCTGTAAGACTCTAAGTGATGTAGACAGTGGTGGGAAAAAACATTTAGAAATGGAAAACAACTTACTGGTTACTCTGCTAATGTGATGGAAGTTGCCAAATGGAAAATGAATGCAAAAAAAATACAGCTGGATTGTTTGCCACAAATTTATTATTCAATAAATATTCTGTGGTTTGATGTGCAGTATTGTATTTTTAATACATTTTGATTAGAAATCCAATCCTAAAACATTCTGTAAGACTTAGACACAATTGAATTAGAAGGGAATTGACTCCATTAAAATATTTTTGGCCTCAATGGTGTCCCTCAGCCATTTTTCTCGAAAGCGAGTCTGTCCTGGTCTGCAGAGGAAGAAAAACAAACATACCTAAACTTTTTAACATAAAACAAAACGTTGAGCCAGGGATTCCCTGTTTATTCTGTTACATTCCTAGTGAGCAAGAAGTCTTTTGGGGGTGGGGAGCGCAGATTGTCTCTATTCCATAGGCCCAATCAGTGAAAGGATTAATGAGTTTATATGTAAAGATTCTTTAAAAGAGCTGCTATACAAATAAAGATTACTATATAGGACTTAATTCCATGTGACTGTAAAGTTTCCCGATAGAAACAATAGACGCGACCCACTTTGCCCCCACCCTCCTTTAGCAATTAATCCTCAAGTTTCTACTTACTGAAAAATGAGACATTAAAAAATTTTTTTCTAGAACAATGGCAGAATCTTACTTTCAGCCCATCCTAATGGGGTGAGTGGGCCAAAGAAAAAAAGTGACCATTACATGAGTTATCAGTGGCTATGAGCCTGCTGGGTTCCCAGGATGTGATGACCTTTGCCCACTACCCATTTAAAATGAGTCTCCAGGGGCACTTAGTTGGCTCAGTTAGTAGAGCAGGGGACTCCTGATCTCTGGGTCATGAGTTCTAGCCCCACGTTGGGGGTAGAGATGACAAAAAAGAAAAGTCTCCATTACCTGTGAACTAATGAAAGGCCCTCAAAAATATAAGAGACCTCAATGGGCATATCCTAAGAGAGAAAAGGATAACTGTTAGTTTGTACCAATCATACCAACTCATAATTCTTTCCATCCCTACACTTGTTCATATGTATACTCTTAAGTTTCTGGAATTCATTATCCTTATTGGGGATGAATGTAGGTGGTAGTTCTTTGTCACTTCAAATCTCCGTTCCTCAAGAGATCTTTTTGACAACAGATACCTGAAGAATCTCTGCAAAATTGGGAACAAGTCAGGAAAGGCTTGTGCTCCTCACGGATAGTCACTTACCTTCTTTACCTGTTCCACTTTACTCAGTTGACAGCATTTACCTCTTAGGAGTAGCATAAGAATGAAATCATACAGATAGACAAGGTTTGAAAACATTTTTAAAGCAGCATAAAAGTGTAGGTTGTAATATTGTCTCTGTGGTCCCCACCCATTCTCTCTTCCAAAATTATATTTGGAATTCTGAGCAAGAGCCCTTCTAAGCCCGCAAAGTACAGTCTCTGGTCACGGTCTTGCTTACCTCTAGCAGCCTTACTTTCCAATCTCCAACCTTGCCAGTTAGCAAGACAGCCAATGGCAGGATATATGACCAGGAGAAGTGAGAGCTCCACATACTTTGCCTTTTTACATTATTTCAGGTTCAAATAGATAGATTTGTGGTGGGCTAGGATAAATACAAGACAGTTGGCTCACTGTGTAGTCCTGTATAAAGCTCTGGAGTCAGACAACACCTCAGATAACTTCTGTGAAAGGATGGACGGCAAGGAGGGGAAAAGCTTGTTTACGTCTGCTGTAATCCATGCATTATGCCTGGAACCAGACCTACTCCTCTGATGATCCTAACCCTGGATTCATGGATGTTATTTTGACTCCTTTCACACCAGCTATCAACATATTTTATATTCATTGTCTACCCGGTGGCTACACACAGTCATTCCTTCAAGTATTCATTGAGTGCCTATTATTTGCCAGGCGTCATTTTACAGCAAGACAAAAATTCCTGCCTTTGTGAAGCTTACGTTCCAGTAGGGGAAGCAGACAATAACAAGACAATAAATTACACAGACTATCAGAAGGTAATAAAGTGTTAGGGAGAAAAGGCAAAAGCTTGGGGGAAGAGAGAGAAAGTGTGGTGTAGGTGAGAGCGGGATGTGCACATACGTAGGGTAGGGTGTTCCAGTCAGAGGGAACAGCAAATACAGAGGCCCTGAGGCAGGACTCCACCTGGATTATTAACGAGTCGCAAGATCACAGCAGCTGGAGGAGAAGGAGGGAGGGAGGAGGAGGAGGCAAGCAGAAATAATAAGGGACCAGGTCACACAAGGCCTGGTGGGCCCTCACTACTCCAAGTGTGCTCTGTGGGTGGGCCTGCAGCATCAGCACTGCCTGGGAGCATCTTAGCAATGCAGAATCTCAGACATCACCCCAGGCCTGCTGAATCAGAATCTTCCTTTCAACAAAATCTCTAATTTGCATGCAAAAAATAATAATAATTTGCATGCACTTTGAAGTTTGAGAAACATGTTGGAACGTTTTAAACAGAAGAGTGACATAAATTCGTTTTATAAGGCTCACTCCGGCTGGCAGCTGCTGTATTGAAATCATATATGGTAAAGGTGAGGGTAGAAGCAGAGAGACCAGTTAGAAGGCTATTGAAAAAATAATCTCGGTAAGAGATGATGGTGTCTTGTACCAAGGTGGTAGAAGTGGAGCGGTAAGAAATTGTTGGATTCAGGACCTATTTTTGAAGATACGGCCAAGAAGATCTCCTAACGTGTTAGATGAGGGGTATGAGAGTCAAGGATGATACCAAGGATTTGGGCCATGAACTGAGATGAGGTGTCTGCAGGCAGGTCAGGTTGAGAAGGAAAAATTGGAAGCTCAGTTTTAGATACAAGAAGTGAAGTGAGATGGTTATTAAACACCCAAGTGGCAGAGGTCTGGCCTGGAAATACAAGTTTGGGAAGCATAAGCCAGAGGTGGCATTTAAAGCCAGGAGACGGGGATCCCTGGGTGGCGCAGCGGTTTGGCGCCTGCCTTTGGCCCAGGGCGCGATCCTGGAGACCCGGGATCGAATCCCACATCGGGCTCCCGGTGCATGGAGCCTGCTTCTCCCTCTGCCTGTGTCTCTGCCTCTCTCTCTCTCTGTGACTATCATAAATAAATAAAAAAAAAAAAATTTAAAAAAAAAATAAATAAATAAAGCCAGGAGACGATAAGATCACCAACGAAATGAGTGTAGAGGACAGGCTTAAGGCCAGTAGAACCTGAAAAGGAATGGTCAGTGAGGCAGGAGGAAACCCTGGATAGTATGTTGTTATGGCAGCCAAATGGAATGTCTCACGAATCGGGGAGTGAGCAGCTATGGCAAGTGCTGCAGATTGGCCAAGCAAGATGAGGACAGAAATAGGACTTAGTTTAACAAAGAAGGGATCATCAGTGACCTTGACAAGAGATGTCTCCATTCTCACTGAAGTCTCATCTAAGCGAACGGAAGAGAAAAGGAAGAACTTACTGGAGGTTTGTTTTTGGTGATCTTGATGGTGAAGTAGGCAGAGGCAGAGACTTGTGCAATAGGTATGTTAGCAGTTGGGTTGCTCCAGTGTACACAGTAGATGTAGTGGTAGCTGTGAACCAAGTCTTCTCTCTCTATAAACTCTGTGCAGTGCACCCAGCAGTCTTGATACTCCCAAGTCTGTTTCACAGAAAAAGGAAAGAGCACACAGAACGAAAGGCAAACTTCTATTCAAGTCCTTTAGGTAAAGGCAACACACAACAGTAGGGGTTACAGCCCTGCTCCTGGCATCCATTTCTAACATTTTAAATTGGGATTCAAACTAGGGTCAACTCCCAATTATCTCCACAAGTGAAGGAGAGAAAAGGTGGAGCGACCTGAAGTGAGTGAATAATGCAACATCCCTGGAGATCGGGCTTTGGAACACAGAGGCACACACTCAGATGTGTAGGTACACAAACACACCACATATGTATACACACTGACCTGCCTCCAGACCCTTACTTGGGAGGCAAATTTGGTTAATTGGAGAGTAATTGGAAGTGATTAGAACATGTGTTCTGCACACTCCTCTTGGGAGGCCTTATGACTGGAAAGCAATAAGGCTGATTTTCACAAGCTGTTTTCGACAATCAGACTCATTTCAATGCAGCCATCGGTGGTCTAATAAAATAAGTTTAGAAAAGGAATGAGGGCAGCCCCTGTGGCTTAGCGGTTTAGCGCCGCCTTCAGGCCGGGGTGTGACCCTGGAGACCCAGGATCGAGTCCCACATTGGGCTCCCTGCATTGGAGCCTGCTTCTCCCTCTGCCTGTGTCTCTGCCTCTCTCTCTGTTTCCGTGTCTCTCATGAATAAATAAATAAAATCTTTAAAAAAAAAAGAAAAGGAATGAATCAGGCACTAGGATCATCCAGGCCCCTCAGATCACTATTTATCCCCTTGGTGAAGTTTTTCTCTCCAAAGCACGAATCTTACTAGTGCCTAGGGCCCCACAGAAGTGGCAATGCAGCCCCTATTCTCAGCACAACGTATGGAATGCTGTAGGTATTCAACAAGTTTGATTCAACTGAACCCCCTTGGGTTGGCGACTGGGGCACAGGAAGCTACCACATTAAAAAAAAATCCTGAATGAAGATGAAGGTCCACAGAAGGAAGGAAGTGGGACAGTCTAGTGATTTCAGTGGTGGAGAAGGAACAGTAGGAGGGGCATGGCTAAAAGACTTCAGGCCCTCTAAAAAAAAAAAATGTAGGTTGGGCTTCTGCCTCAGCTTCCTTTATTTCAAACTTAGAACCAATTCATTGATTCAGCCAGCCAGACAGGAGCACCAGACTCTAGCTTCCTTGGGATCAGGATTGTGTTTTACTCAAATTGTCATTGCTTTTAATGAAGGAGCCTGCTAACCCTTTGCAGCCCATTGGAACACGTCTTTTCTTTCCAACCTTTCGAAATTAATAGGCTTCTTCAGCCCTAATGTTTAGTCTGTCACACAATCAAAGACTTTGTACCATCATAAGGATCCCTAGAGATCACTCAGGGAAGCCCTTCACTTTGCAGATGAGATGAGAATATTGGGGCCTAGAAATGGGAAGGGACAGTCCCGTGCAACAGCTGGAACTGGGACCGGGACCCAGGGCTCCCCAGCAGCCAGCTCAGTGCTCTCTCCACCCCACCAGATGTCTCAATTCTAAGATTTTCTTCCTCTCAATTTGGTATCCCAAGTGTTTTGTTTCCCTTTGGTGAGTTAAGGCAGTCATTAATTTAGACACATTAAATTCAGCTATTTCCATCAGGCCAATTTCCCCATTTTTATCATTGTTCAGGCAGCTGACTCTTAGGTAGCTCCAGGGAGTGTGTGTTATTCTTGTATTTTGTAATTTTTACATAACATCGCTTCATATAGTCGCTTTCAGGAAACAATATCTCATTGTGCTACTCTACCATGGATGGCTTAGCCAATTACATATTATTGGACACTCAAAATCAACAGGCACCTGGAAGTATATGCACAAAACTGTTATCAATGGTAAGTGACCCTTGAAGGAGTAGAACTGGGTATTATGGGAGTGGCAGGGGAGCTTTTGTTTTTTACTTTGTGACCTTTTGCTCACTGGGGTTATTTTTTTATAGTCTTATTTTATTATAAAAATAATTTTAACTGTGTGTTAGGCATTGGGGATTTTCTAAATTTTCTCTTATAAAGAACTTATTTGTGTATTCCTATTGCCAGATTGTGTCCCTTAGAATAAACTAATTGTGCCCATTGGCAATGTATAAGTGTACCTATTCCCTCCCGCAAACACACACCTTTGGACACCAGGTTTAATCATTCTTATTCACATTATAATACATTAAAATCTTAAATTTGCATTTTTCACTGATAGTAAAACTCCATTATTTTTGTCACCAAAGAAAACTCTTCCTCCCATGGTGGCCAAAGTATATCAGACTTGTGATCAATGCTTTATTTTGCTGCTTAATCAGAAAGACTTAATCAGGGGCACCTAGGTGGCTCAGTCGGTTAAGTGTCTGAATCAGTCTCGGCTCGGGTCATGATCTCAGGGTCATGGGATGGAGCCCCACAATGGGTTCCATGCTCCGTGCTCAGTCTGCTTGAGATTCTCTGACTCTCCCTCTCCTTGTGCCCCTTCCTCTGCTCATGCATGCTCTCTCTCTTTCTAAGATAAAAAAATAAGTAAACTCTTAAAAAAAAAGGCAGACTTAGGACAAACTGTCCAACCTCTCTGAACCTCAAGGTTTCTTATCTGTAAAATGGGTACACTAATGTACCTACATGCAGGTTTGTTGTGGGGATTAGATGAGATCACATATGAAGTGCTTAGCAGTACTAATGTGCCATCCCCTGGTGTATGGTGCGCCCTGGGAAGTCTGCCATAAGCTTGAGAAAGCCTCCATCAGAAATGTCTGACTTTTTTAAAAAAGATTTTATTTATTTATTTATTCATGAGAGACACAGGGAGAGAGAGGCAGAGATGCAGGCAGAGGGAGAGGCAGGCTCCTTGCAGGGAGCCCAATGTGGGACTCGATCCCAGGTCTCCAAGATCAGGCCCTGGGCCAAAGGCAGCGCTAAAACACTGAGCCACCCGGGCTGCCCAGAAATGTGTGACAGTTAGATGGTAGACTTTACTTCTAGGGCTCACTGCATTAGCAGGGCTGGGAACAAGGTGATTTTGTGTCAGTAGCTATATTAGAGCTTTTAACTTTTCAGTTACCTTCTACTTTCTAATCATCTTATCCTCATAACAGTCCTACAAAATAGGTAAGCTCTTCATCTGTGAACAAATAATGGTATGGAGACAATAAATCTGTGTATTCAACACAAATTTATAGAGCATCTCTGTGTACCTGACCTTTCTAGGGGCTGGGGACAGAGAATTGGATAAAAGCGTCTGCCCTCATGAGCCATATGATCTGTAGGTAGAAGAAAGGCAAAAGGTAAATAAGTAAAATCTAGTATCTTAGGTAGAGCTGAATGCTAAGGGAAAATGTAAATCAGAGGAGAAAGGTTTGCAACTTTACATGAGGTGGCCAGAAAAGGCCTCAGTGAGCACGTGGAATCTTTTTTAAATTGAGCTATAGTTGGGTCGCCTGGGCGGCTCAGTGATTGAGTGTCTGCCTTCGGCCCAGGATGTGATCCCGGAGTCCCAGGATCGAATCCCCCATCGGACTCCCTGCATGGAGCCTGCTTCTCTCTCTATGTCTCTGCCATTCTCTCTGTGTGTCTCTCATGAATAAATAAATAAAATATTTTAAAAACAAAATAAAACAAACTGGGACCCCTGGGTGGCTCAGCAGTTGGGTGTTGGGTGTCTGTCTTTGGCTCAGGGCCTGGTCCTGGAGTCACGGGACTGAGTCCCCCATCAGGCTCCCTGCATGGAACCTGCTTCTCCTTCTGCCTGTGTCTCTGCCTCTCTCTCTCTCCCTGCGTCTCTTATGAATAAATAAATAAAATCTTTAAAAATATAAATAAATTGAGCTATAGTTGATATACAGTATTATATTAGTTTCAGGTATACAGCATAGTGATTCAATATTTATGTGCATTGTGAAATGATCACAATAGATCTGTCACCATGCAAAATTATTACAATATGATTATATTTTCCCTGCGGTACTTTTCATCTCTGTGCTATTTTATTTTATTTTTGAAGATTTTAAATAATCTCTCCCAATGTGGGGCTTGAACTCACAACCCCGAGATCAAGAGTCACACACACCCCACCAACTGAGCCAGCTGGGCATCCCATGACTAGTTCATTTCCTAACTGGAAGCTTGTACCTCTTAATCCCCTTCACTTGTTTCCCCCAAATCATAACTCCTCCTCTCTGGAAATGACCAGTTTGTTTTCTGTACTTGAGTCTGTTTCTGTTTTGAAACCTTAGTTCATTTGTTTTGTTTTTTAGATTCCATGTGTAAGTGAAATCATATGGTATTTGTCTTTCTTTAACTTCACTTCACTCAGCATAATACTCTCTAGGTTCATCCATGTCATCACAAATGGCAAAACCTCATTCTTTTTTATGGCTGAATGATATTATAGTCCATATATACAAGGCTTCCCTTTTCTCTACATCCTCACCAAGACTTGTTATTTCTTGTCTTTTTGATACTAGCCATTCTGACTGGTGTGTGGTGATATCTCATTGTAGTTGTGATTTGCATTTCCCTAATGATTAATGATGTTAAGCATCTTTTCCTGTGTCTCTTGGCCATCTGTATGTCTCTCTTTGGAAAAAAATTTCTATTCAGGCCATCTGCCCATTTTTTTAAAGGATTTTATTTATTTATTCATGAGAGACACAGAGATAGAGGCAGAGACAGGCAGAGGGAGAAGCAGGCTCCCTGCAGGAAGCCCGACGTGGGACTCAATCCCCGGACCCTGGGATCATGCCCGGAGCAAAAGGCAGACGCTCAACCGCTGAGCCACCCAGGCATCCCATCTGCCCATTAAAAAAAATTTTTTTTTTTTGGTGTTGAGTTGTAGGAGTTTATATATATATTAACCCTTTGTAAACATATTATTGCAAAATATCTTCTCATATTCAGTAGGTTGCCTTTTCATTTTATTGATGGTTTCCTTTGCTATGCAAAGGTTTTTTAGTTTGATGTAGTTGCAGTTGTTTATTTTTGTTTTTGTTTTCCTTACCTGAGGAGATGGACC